AACGATGCACTGCTTATCCCCGTCAACTTCACAGTTTGGCGCCGGGCAGGCCACAATGCACTCGCTATGACCAATGCAGGTGATGTCACGGACCCAAGGGGCAACTTGACAGCCAAAAATTAAAGGATCGTATACCCAGCGATCGCCTAAAATAAAATTTCAAATTTTACACAATTATTAAAATCAAAGTTTACATAGTACTAATGACGGATTTTTCCCGCGAAACGACTCGTTCTTCGCTTTGTAAAATACAAATTGCTGCTTCACTGGAATTACTTGATTTTCAGTAAAGTGTACCAAATGGGAGTGTTTCTTCAAATCAACTGCGAAACGTTATTTACTCTAAATCGACACGTACGTAATTAAAGTTTTATAGAAATTGATAATTCTGAAAAACTACGGCATTGTCAGTCTCATAAAAATTTTGCTTATACTGAGGAGGACAACCCTTCACCGACAGAATCACCGATCTTGATGCCCTTTGGATATGTTGTAGTCCTAGGTGAGTCTAGCAAAAGTGAAGAAGGATTTCATTCCATGGCCCCATTTGCGACCGCCACACCCACTCAAAGGTGCGAAAAACACGAAAAATACCCTGTTTTCGTTCATTCAAAAAATCACCAAAAATCCAATTTTGATCGGATTTTCATAATTTAAGCGTTTTTGTGATCTTAGATAGTTGCTTTATCATATCCCTCGTGATGGTAACAGTCATGGAGTACGCAGTCGCGAGTAGGAGTAGCAAAATCATTAGATTAAAACTTCTATACTTATAATTTTTTCCGGATTTCATTTTCGGGCGATGAATTTTCGAGTCTTGATTTAATAAAGTGAATGCAATTTTTTTACTGGTCGAACTAAAACAGGATACCCGACAAGTTGTTCCACTTCCTGCAACTGAGTGCTTAAAAACAGTAAAAGTTTGAGGAGTTGAGTTTGCATACCTAAATTTAGGATTCTTTAATTTTGCTGGTAACTAACGAGGTCTACGTTAAATTTAGATTAAAGGAACGCATACATACCTTTCCTGAAGTGACAGATACACTTATAGGCTTATATTTTTTAAGGGGACATACACTGACTTGTTACATTCACTCACAATAAGCAGAAGTAGCAAGTCAAGTATCTACTTGAAACACACATAAAAGCCATAAGTTAATCTTGTTGAAAGTTAATCTTGTTTACTAATTGTCGATTTATTTTAATATATAATTTCGAATTACAAAACTAATCAGTAGAGAAATTTTGAGTTAAATTTTAAAAAAAACATTTTGCATTCCATTTTTTATGTACATATGCATAACTGGTGTAATCAAACATACCCTTATTAAATTTTGATACCGATTTAGGAACCAAGCAGTTCGGACCCTTCTCTCCATGGGTGTCTTCGCTATTAAACAGCATGTCCTTACTGCACTGGCCTTCACGAAGGGCCCACTCTTTTTTAGTATCTTTCCCCAATGCACACTCATAATAAACCGTTACATCGCATGTAACCAAGGGGTGAAAGGAGTGTCATACGTCAATGTGAATATCAAATTGTTCGAAAATTTGTTAAGATTGACACTTCTGACGTGTTTTCGACTTTTGTGTCTTATTTGTGTCAAATTTAACAGTTGATAACCCTTATGTGACCTTTATATGACCTCTGAGGTCAAAATGGAGGTCACCATTGAATTCGGGGTTAAATTTCAGTTGAAATTGAAATAGATATGTCCTATGACCTTTACATGACCTCTGAGGTCAAAATGGAGGTCACCATTGAATTTGACATTGAAAATTAGTTAAAAATGATGTGTCACATGCCAAAACTGACAAGTGACACTTTTTCGTCACTTTTCGTCACTGGGACGACGTCATCGTCACAGGTGACGATGTCACAGTGTCCATCTTCGAACTCGTCCTGTCCATTGACGTTAGGAGTTTATGTTCAAAATTTCAAGTGTCTATGTCTTTTCGTTCAAAAGTTATCGGAGCTACGGACAGACAGACGGACAGACGGACGGACGGACGGACGGACGGACAGACGGACATAACGATCTTATTAAGGGCTTTCACCCCTTAATAGTAAGTATACGCAAACCTAATCGACAGAATTTTCCACCCGTCATTCCTCCCTCCTTTTTGCAAATATTCTTTGCATCGTCAATTTTTCGATTCTTATAAGTTGAACTTTTCGGGATTTTGCACATTCACGGCATCTGTGTCGACACACTTCTCATCCAACAGGCTGTATACTTGGAGGTTGCTGCAGCTAAATTTATCCACTTGCCAACCACCATCGTCCTTTTGCCATTTACATTTCACGTAAAGAACACAGCTTCCAGGTGCCCCTGCATCAGGGAAGACTTGACCAGGTTTTTGGCACGTGCCATATGTCCCGCGTGATTTGCTCAGTGAATGAGACTCAATATGAACGGATGCTGAAAATTAATGTCATTGTACCATGTTAAAAATTAAATTATCCATAAATAGAGGCATTAGCTTGAACAAATGATCCACACAGACTTCAAATAACGGCGGTATTGCTTAATTTTAATGTATTGCATACATAAGAACATTTTCACATACAGTGTATCAAACAATTGAGTCCACGGTACCACGCCTCTGCATTCAACTGTTGACAACTTATTGCATAGAAATTACTAACATATGGAAGGTTGACTATATAATGGTAAATTTAATGCTGAATCCAATTGTGAAAAGCATTTTTCAATATATCAGTCCGTTTGTCCAGAAATAAATTAACAACCCAAAAATCTGTAAATTTGAAGTAAAAAAAATGAGTACTCGGTACGAAAATGATGCATTTTTATAATTAACAAATTTAACCTAGCAGCGTGATGAACCACATTTACCTTCACTAACAGTTTGAATTCGTCTGGGCATGGATTCCAACAATTTTTTGTAAAATCTGGGTCTAAATGCTACCATGGACCAGCAATAATGGTATTCAAGTTATCCTTGCTAGATGATGACCTGTTGGCAATTTTGTGTTCGAGTTCTGAACGCAAATGTTCATTGAGAGTCAAGTCCAGGGACGTATTTTAACCTTCTTGTCTTGGAACCAGCTGGTCACTATCTTCGCAGATGCTTGGGGTCCGAGTTTTGTTGAAAATAGTAATCGCACCGAATTCTTAGGTTTGGAGGGGATAGGATCAAATTTTTCTTTAAAATGTCCAGATAGAATTCCTTAGTCATAATTCCGCCGATAAAGTGTAATTTGACAACAGTTTTCCAGATTATGGACCCCTAGCCATTACGGAACCACCTCCGCGTTTTACTTTCTAATGGATGCATTCCGGTTTTAGTGCCTCGTTACTCTTTCTCCACTTACAAACAACTGATTCTGCACTAAAAAACTTCAACTTGATTTAGTCGGTCCAGCGGACATGTTTCCAATCGTTATTTGTCCAGGCGCTGTGATCCGTAGCCCATTCCAGGCGTAGGCGTTGATTATGCTTTTCAATGAATGGTATCTTCCGTGCAACTTGGGCATTAAAAAAATTTTCCTACCGCATGATTCTCGCAGTTTGCGGATTAATGGACTGGCTGAACTTTTAATTTAGTTCTGCAGCAATTTTTTATTCTTATATCTCCTTGCTGACCTCACTTTATTGACCATTTTTCGGCCCACATGAGCTGTGGTTTTTCGTTTTCGACCTATTCCTGTCCAATTTGCCACGGAGCGAGTGGCTTTCCACTTGGTGATACTTTTTGGAATCCTCCACTTCTTCTGTTCGATTTTTTATAGATTTTGTCGTACCCAGGTCTTGCCTGGTGAAAGGAAACATTTTTTTTTCTTTCCTCATGACAAAGCTCATGTCTCGCCACTTTCGCGAAGACCTATCATCTGCATTATTGAAGTACACAATGAAAGTTATTTTATTAGCAACGATAAACTGTGATTAATTATAATTTTAATTTACTGAAGGCTGGAGGTCAAGAAAACGAAAATATTTCAACTAAACTCGCAGCGTATACTCAATTTTTTGATGACGAGTATTATTTTTCCCGGACAGATCTCACAATGCCCGCTAAAATAATTGGTTCGCATGAAATTGGCTACGAAAGTTAGATTCCGTATTATATTCTGAGTTACAGATACGTATTTCGTAGTCAAACTTTCAAAAACAAATAATTTATTCAATGCTGAATGAAGGGGCGTCGTACCGTGGACTCAATTGTTTAATACACTGTAACAGACCTTTCGCATGTGCGCATAGTGCATACTTATTTTGTAGTTAAGATTAAGAGTATGCGTGAAACATAAACATTGAATATATGCTTTTGTATATTTCAATTCTTTGAATTTCGCCACGGTCACGATTTTAGCCTTCAAAACCGCTTATGGCGAAAAATTCCTGTGGGCGTCAAGAAAATCGTACACGGTCGAGCGATAGCTCGTTTTTTTCGTGAGGCCTTGCCGCAACCAATAAAAAATGTTAGAAAGTCCTAAAAAATCACCCATGAAGTTTTCATTTTGGCCTCTCATTTTGAAATGGTAAAAAAATTCTGACCTTGGACAGCGCGGTGACCTTCAAATTCGGCGACGAGGGATTATTCGCCAATTAGTTTATACAACTGCGTGCAGAGTTTCGAAGCTCTAAGTGCTCGGGATCATATCGCAATTAAAAAAACGCAAAGGTCCACTTAATTTTTTTGCTCACTGTAGCATCCTCGTCGGAGACTTGAGAACCAAAAACAAAACCAAACCATTTCCCAGGTAGCTAAAGTTTTGAAAAATGTACAATTTTGTATATTTATGAAAAAATCCCCGACCATTGTACACTGATAGTTCAATATTTTTGCGTTTTGACGCTAACCAATGTACGACGTCTAAACAAGAAGCAAAACCGACTAAGGAGGATAGTGGCAAACTTTAATTTTAGATATACGAGAAGCAGTGTGGTGCAATATTAAAGATGATAAAATGCCGTAACTATTGTCAAATCTAACGACACATAGCACTGGTGCAATCAAAAGATCAACAATGCAGCTGATAATAAGTAGTGAAATTTTTATTCAAATTCATCAAGCATTTGATTTAATTACATTCCTAATCTCATAAATTGTGACTAGGTGGTGTACCACTTTTAAGTTGTTCACCCTTTACTATTTAAATTTCTTGTCATTATGCGTCAATTTTCCTAAAACTAAGTTTTTTTATCATTTAAATAATTTTAATAGTTATGTGCAGCTAAAAACTAAAAAAAATCGCAATATTTACTTCCTGGTAGGTCCTACATAATAGCCCTCCTATCACATCTCTTCATCGCTATCTAATTTTTCTCGGCACGCCAACAAAAGTTTAAATTTTGGGGTAAATCTGAAAAAGATGACATGGCATTTTTCCGTTAAAAAATCACTACTTGGCTTCTCTACTTTTGGATCCCACTGAAACTCAAATTTCTGACAGAGTGAGGCCAACACAAGAAAAAAATCATTTCGCGCAAACGTTTGTCCTGGACAAGTTCTGAGGCCGACTGAGAATGGGAGAAATGGTGGTGGGGCATCACGAGATCTGGTGTCATTCAGGAAACGGTCTGGATTAAATATTTCCGGTTCCGGGTAGAACTTTGGATCGTGATGAATTCCGTACAAATTGGCGATAATGGTGGTGCCTTTGGGAATAAAGTAGGTCTCGAAGGTTACATCTTGAGTAGTCATTTGGAAATTGGAGAACGGAGAAGTACTCGAAATTCGTAAGACTTCTTGCATGACGGCCTTCGTGTAAGGCATTCTAAATAAATTTGTAATTTTTTAAAAACTAATTTTTACCAGAGAGAGATTTCCTTACTGTTATCTTATCTATCAATCCGGGTATTTTAAGACTTGAAATGTATCACGTAGAAATTTAGCGTAGATAATTTTTAAATGATGTGTCAGAAATCTTATCGCCACCATAGTTGTTCAAAAATTTAGTTTTCAATCAAATTTCAGTCACCCGATTTCTGACTGAAGGCTTTCATTTACGTTCAGTCATTTTAGTTCAGCATCATTTCATTTCACTTCATCGGACTTCATTTCTTACTTTACCCCATATATTAAGCATACGATGAGAAATGAAAGGAGTGAAAATTTTTTTATTCACACGCATTCATCTGAAATGACAAAAATTTAAAATCACACGAAATTCATTTTAATTCACTACCTTAATCGTTGAAATGAATGAAATGGAACAGGTATGGTGGCCGCTTGAGAATAGTTAGTCAAGGAATTATCGCTATCTAAAACAGCTTACTTTTCAAAGTTCTCCAGCGAAGGGCACCGGTCGGATCCAATCACCGTTAAAATCTCTTTCGCCAATTTGTCCTGAATTTCGGGATATAATGACAAGTAGAGAAGCGCCCAATTTAGCGTGTTCGTCATTGCTTCTGCCGCGCTGACGAACAAGTTTATAATCGTTCCTTGCATGTGATTAGCTAAAAGTAAACTTTAAAATGTGAATTGGAAAAATTCCCGAGAATTGAATTTGAAAATTTAAATATTAATGCAAACATACCTCCTTTATTTTTATGAAAATGTGACCCCTCGTCTCCTTCTGCGTTTTGAATTTCTTTCAAAAATGCAGTCACGAGGTTATCATTCAACAATGATGAATTATTTTTATTCATTAGTGCCTGTCGTTTTACTTCATCGTGTAAAATTGAAGGAACATTTTTTATCCGGTTTAACCCCGTTAATCCCGGGAATAATTCGGTCAACCAGGGTAGAAACCATATCGCACTCCCGATCGGTTGCCATAGCGATCTTGAAAAAAATAACTGAATTAGAGTACCAGCATAATAGCCCAACCAAAATAGTTTTTCTTCCAAACAAAAGCTACACTTTTCACAAATTTAAATTGTGCATCCAATTTATTTGTTGATCCAACCAAAATGAACATAAAATATTACAAACAAATAATTTTGCCTCTAATTTAAATTTTAGTTAGAAAACAAATCGATTGGTTGCACATTTTAGTGTTGCGAAAATTATTAGTTTTGATTGGAAGAAAATAAATTTTGGTTGGGCATTATAAATTTGACATTAAATTATATCGGCAACTTTTATCAAATTTCGTAAAAAGGAATGGAACAAATTCTGGTTACGGCTTTTTAATTTATTAGAGTGTTTATTAATTTATTAATTTATTAGGGTATTTATTAGAGTGTATATAAAGCTGCTAAAGGTTTTCAATTTTGTTACCTATGCAACTATGTTAAAGTTTCCTGACAAAATTTCTTGTCTCGAATTTCCTCCCCCGTCAAAATATTCCAAAGATGGTTTGTAACCGGAGTGTAAAATTTATCTTTAAAATCGACCCTGTTTCCCACCTCTTTTGAAAGTGAGTCTACCAATTCTTCAATATCCGATTGAAGAAAAGGTTCCATGCACTTCTTTCCGAATCCGAGCGAGCTAAGATTTTTCACTGTAAAATTTCGAATCGTACTCCACGAGTCCCCTTGAGAAGTTAGTGTTCTTTGGAATAAAAATTATACTTCAATTAATATATCAAAAAACTCTACTCCGCATATAATGCCACCTTAATGAAATGTTATTGCGACAATTTTACCCTACGGGAAACCAGCAACTGATAAATTTTAATTAACTACAATTTCATATGACTTGTCCAGAAATTTGAAAGCATATGTATCTTTACCATGTTCCTGTCCACCCATTAAGTAATGAAGTGGTTTGAATTCAGGTCGTCCATTAAATTCCGGATTTGAAAATGCCGCCTTGATCAGGTCATAGTCATTTAGTTGCACGGCGCTGATGCATATACACTAAATTATTTTGACGACCTTCATTTGAAAGAAATCTTTGGTTAATACCGAAAATCCCCTAATCGAAGTCCAACAATTTTCCCGTATCTATCCCGCCAATTTGTCATCGCCCTTAGAGGAGATTTGCGAAATTGGAGCAGATTTCCGAAAATTGGCCATTGTGTAGGACCTATTTTTTTAACGAAATAAATTGGGAAAGTAAATTTGCAAATTTAAAACTACGGGGTAAATATGTATATTACAATAATATCCTAATTTTAACGCATGAAGAATTAAATCGATCGATTTTATTTAGTGAATCGATGAAATTTGAATTACAAATAATAAAATACCTGGTGGAAAACCCTTCGGCCTAAAATGGTCTGTTCTTCGTTTCCAAAAAACGTAGCACAAGAGTTAAACGCATACAAAGTAGGGAAACATAACGCTGTTCGGATAATTTTAAAAAGAATGATGATATATTTTTACAATTTAGTTTTAATGAATGTCGTCGCTTTTGTGGGGACAACTTTTCAATAATTCAATGTCCAAGTTTGCTAGTAATTTTACCCATTTATGCAGCTATATCGCACTTGCTATAGCAGTTAGCTAAGGTCAGTGTCGAATTTGATTTCGGGGGAATTTATAGGGAGCTTTATAAGGAAATTGTTTGGCGATTTAGGTAGTTTTAGAGGAAACATAAAAATGTTTATTAGCACGATTTCGAATGCATTAACTATAGATAAACCTACTAAATCACGTTATTACGGAAAAATTAGTTAATGACACTGGTAAGAATTTCCTACTAGGGAACAAGTATCGTGAAAAATATCAGTTTATTCCCGTTCCCGTATCGCCTCAGGATTCTCAATGAGGAAAACGAAATTGGAAAGTTGTCTTAAAATCTCTTCACTTTATCATTCTTTACATATTTCATATATAGGAGGAAATTTAATGAACAAAAAAGGTATGAAGCTCGTTTGAACTCTATTTAGAGTCAAGGGCGTGGGCTTATGTACATATGTATGTGGGAAGGTCAGTTTAGCGAAAATACTTTTGTCGACAAAAATTCGCCATAAAAATCCCATTCGGCGGAACCCAAAGTTCATGCATTTCTAGGTATTTTTGTAGACTTCCATGTTTGGCGAAAATAATGCCGAATTTGGCAAGAATGAGGATGACGTGAAAATGGTAACTCATGGTTAGTTGGGGTAAGTAATTTCGCCATTTGGAATTTCTCATGCATAGGTGCGCAGCTTCCGGACGTCTGAAGCGGGCGCCGGAGGCCGAAGCTGTTAGAACTTGCGCACCTATGCTCTCATAATATTTTTTACCACATTGGCGATGATTTTATTTTTCGTCCAACTAGACTTCGCCAGAATGACCGTCAATCCATACCTACATATGCACCCATGTACATGCATTATCTCATTAATTCAATTATATTCTATTCGCCATTCAATTTGATTTATCTACAGACATAGTTGATTATGACTGCTTTACAAGTTATATAACTTGTATTATATATTTGTACTTAATACGTATGTAAGAAGAAACATGCATGTATAACTCGAATAAATGCATACAGATAAATATACAAGATTACACATGTATCTTGAATAGGACTGACTAGCTGCAATATAAAACCACATTATCCCTAACAATTTTTTTGTCTGATTCACGTTGCCAGGCCTTTCAGCATTGTTTGATTCTGGTCAAGAATAGACAGGATACATACGTATATACATAATTTCAACGGAAAACATGTTCAAGCAGATGATGTTATCTTTGCTGAAGACTTGTCTACTTGCTCACCTGACCTCCTTCAAGTGAAGAAGTGTACATGTTATGTTTAATCTGATTGACAAATCGTCTGGGATTTTTAGCCTGCATAACTTTTTGCTTATAAATTTATCCAAACGGAATTTATGTAATTAATCACATACATATGTACATTCAGTACAGTTCACGAAAATTTCAATATAAATAATCCCATTTGGCGAAAAAATAATTTATTGGTTTCTCAGTCCATTTTTAGTTAAATGCATACATAAATATTAAGTGTACATACCTACATAGATATATTTATACATATTCACCATCTTTTACAGGCTACACAATTTTAACGCCCGGGATATTTACTAGTATGTCCTAAGCCGCTGCTGACATTCTTCTAATGCTACCAAATTTTTCCCGCCATCCCAACACAAGCTTAAATTTGGGTGTAAATCTGAGAAAGCTGACGTTACATTTTTCCGTTAGAAAATCACTACTTGGCTTCTCAACGTTTGGATCCCACCGAAACTCAAATTTCTGACAGAGTGAGACCAACAGCAGGAAAAATACATTTCGCGCAAACGTTTGTCCTGGACACGATCTGAGGCCGACTGAAAATGGGAGAAATGGTGGTGGGGCATCGCGAGATCGGGTCTCATCCAAGAATCGGTCCGGATTAAATATTTCCGGCTCTGGGTAGGAGTTCGGATCGTGATGAATTCCGTACAAATTGGCAAGAATTATGGTGTTTTTCGGGATAAAATAGGTCTCGAAGGTGACATCTTGAGTAGTCATTTGGAAATTGGAGAACGGTGATGTACTTGAAATTCGTAAGACTTCTTGCATCACGGCCTTCGTGTAGGGCATGCTACATAAATTTTGAAATTTTTAAGAATTAATTTTACGATACATTTCCTAAATATTATCAAGCAGTTCGGGTATTTTGAGACTTCAGACACACCATGTGAAAATTTAAACTTGGTTAACAACAAGGTTTTCATAAGTATTTATTTCTGGTCAACCGTGTAATTTTTTTTCCCTTTTGTGTTCATGCTTTAATCAAATTAAAAATCGAAAGGGTGTGCCCAAAATTAAAGTTTTCGGTTAATTTGATAGCCTTTCAAAATGATTTTCAAGTGTTTATTAAGTTGCTTCAGCTACTTTATGCGAAGAGTTTGCCTGTCTGTATATCTGTCAGCGGGATAACGTGAGAACGGATAGAGATAATCGAAATCGGTTTGCGGCATCATACATAGAGTGTGTCCTAAAAGTTTCTCCCGATGACTTTTCCGCTCGGTTTTTGGCTCTAGCTTTTGCATGTGTGAGTTTTGTTGTGCAATTTTTTTTGCAATATGATACCAAAGGTAAAGTCTTCTCACAGGCATACGGACTTGCGTATATTGGCATTATCCAATGCAGGATGTGGTCTTAAGTGAAAATACGCAAATCTGAAAGAAGCTAGGATTGCGGAGCAACAAAAAATATTTCAAACCCCAACGCAGTTAAAATAGTTTGAGGACAATCTCCCCATCAAAAAATGCTAATCTGCGTATAAAATTGCAAGGAAATTGGTTAGTTCTGCAATAAAAACTGGAGGAGCCTAAACCTTGGATCACGGCATTTTGGGAAGAATTTAAGTACTTTGATAACTACTTCGAGCACTATCTCATAATAACAATGGAGGGTAGCCAGACATACAGGGGTCGGCATAAAATGCTTTTGAACCCACGCGATATCGGTTAAACTGCGCAAAACCGGTTAAAAACATAGATTTTCAGCTATTTTGACTCCTCCGGAAGGTGACGATAAGCTTATATTCACCGATAAGAGCTAGGTTGAATAGCATTGACAATTCAATCCACAACATTTGAGATGTAGGAAAACAAATTTGAAGGACGTCACATCCTTGGCAATGCCGCAACACGACTTCTAAATCCCTGTCCATGGTTGGTTTCGTAAAGCCCGTAATAAAATCCAGTAGTGGTTGACAGGGAGAAACTTTTAGGACACACTCTAGGAGCCTAGGAGGAGGATTCTATCACGTTTTTGGGTCAACCGGACCACCCAGCTTACGCCAGGGGATGTCGTCACTTCGTAAGGGCAAAATGAGATTTTTACAGACATTTAAACTAAGTGAAATTAACTGTTCCCGCGATGTTTTGGGATTGGTTTGGGTGAAGTGGGACTGAAGCTACTTCTTTATGTTCGTTTACGACGGTTTATTTAATTAACTATCACTATCCACCCAAATCAGCTTACTTTATCAAGTCCTCCAACGAAGGCGACCTCTCTGATCCAATCACTGCTAAAATTTCATCCGCCAATTTCTCCTGAGTTTCAGGATATAGCGACAAATAGAGAAGCGCCCAATTTAACGTGTTTGTCATTGCTTCTGCCGCAGTAAAGTAAAAATTTATGATCGTTCCTTTCATGTGATTATCTAAAATTTAAAATATATATTTGTTCAATTGGAAAAATTCCCGGACACTAAATATGAGAATTTGAATCATACCTCCTTTATTCTTATGAAAATGTGACCCCTCGTCTCCTTCAGTTTTTTGAATTTCTTTCAAAAATATCTTCACCAGGTTTTCATTTAAGGATGAGTCACTTGCATTATTTTTGGTCTGTCGTTTTACTTCATTGTGTAAAAGTGAAGGATCATTTTTTATCCAGTTTAACCCCGTTAATCCCGGGAATAATTCGGTAAGCCAGGGTAGAAACCAGATCGAATTCCCGATCGGTTGCCATAGCGATCTGGAAAAAAATATAAATTATGTTGGAAACTTTTATCACGTTTCTTGAAAAGCAATTTCACAAGGCGCTAAGTTCTTGTAACAGGGTATTTATTAAAGTGTAAAGATTTTCAATTTTATTACCTATGCAACGATGTTAAAGTTTCCCGAAAAAATTTCTTGTCTCGAATTTCCTCCCCCGTCAAGATATTCCAAAGATGGTTGGTAACCGGAGTGTAAAATTTATCTTTAAAATCGACCCTATTTCCCACCTCTTTTGACAGTGAGTCAACCAATTCTTCAATATCGGGAAGAATAAAAGGTTCCATGCACTTTTTCCCGAATCCGAGTGAAGAAAGATTTTTCACTGTAAAATTTCGAATCGTACTCCACGAATCCCCGTGAGAAGTTAGTGTTCCTTGGGAGTAATTGTATAATAAAAAAATATTGTAGGTATTCACGTCAACTTCGTAAGAGCCGTAAACCTCGCTTCGCCACATATCTTCGCAAGTTTGACATGTTTGCGAAGAGTTGCGATGCGACAACCAATCAAATTGCTTTATTTTTTTACGAAACATGCGAAGCAAAAGGGCATCTATTATCGTCGTCAACTATTTTTCGCAAACTCGTCGTCAAGCAAAATTTTCATTTCTCCTCATTTTTTGAAATATTACCAGACAACCTTACGCCAAATGAATGATTTTTTGCAAATAATCAATTTACGCATTTTTATGTAAAATAAGTCGTTCACGACACCGATTCCGCAAACATCGCAAAGTTGCGAAGATGTGTTGCGAAGCGACGTTTTTTAGTAACGTGAATACCCACATTAATAAATACATATGTATTGGCACGCTTCTATGTAGGCGTACAGTGTCGGACAGATGTCTACGTCCACATAGTCGCGTCAATTTCATTTTCAAATTGTCACTGAACTACTGAACCAATTTTCATCATTGATATATCAAATTCTCACAAATTTAACGTAATTTCATAGCACATTATTAGTTTTCCGCTAAAAAATTTATTTTAGGCCAGAGATGTATTTTAATTCAAAATGAAAAAAATTGGGTGGACAAAAGTCAACGTCCAGTAAGAGAAAACATACAAAAAAAACTAATTAATTTAAAATTAATTTAAAATTTATAATTGTAATTTATAAGGAATGTTATAACAATTAATTTTTAATATTTGGTTGGGCCTCCGTTCGCTTTAAGGACGGCTTCAAGGCGTCGAGTCATAGAGTTTACCAAATTCTTGGTCACATCTTCAGAAATGGTTTCCCAAACTTCACGAATTCTGGATTTAAGGCCCGGAATTCCTGAAAAAGATTGTTTTCTTA